TCAACAAAATCAAGGAGAATCCTTTACGGCGTATTATGAGTGTTTCAAGACTTTCGTTGCATCATGTCCTCAACATCAAATGAAAAAAAAGCTTCTCCTTCAAAATTTCTATGAATGACTTCTTCCAATTGAAAGACAAATGCTAGATGCCTTAATGGGAGGAGCTTTGGTTAACAAAACACCCGTTGCTGCCAAGACCCTAATTGCCAACCGAGCAATGAATGCACAACAATACAAAGGAGTTGGACAGAGAGACCCCCCACGGCAGCAACATGTAAATAAGGTAAGTGCAATATCTAAAATTCAATCTCAATTGGCTAATCTCACTCTTCTTGTGTCACAGGTTGTTGAAAGACCCAAAGTGCAAGAAAATACAATTTGTGGCTTGTGTTCTATACAAGGACACCAATCCAAAAAATGCCCTCAATTGATCAAGAATGAAGGATGGGAAAGTGAAGGAAATTTGTGAAAAACATGTTCATTTGAGCAACATCTATGGCATGCAATTAACAATTAAAGGCGAAATCATGCTTGTATGCACTCAAAAACAAAACATTACCCATGAAATTCAAAGCCTAGTAGAAGAGGTGAACCAAGACTCAACTCAAAACAAAGTGAGTTGAGAAACTTTATACCTTTGAAGCACCTCTTTGCTTAGCAAAGCTTAATCACCCATGTGAGGGCCTTCTTTCCTTTGTCACCTTACTCCTTGGCTCCATGGATGTGGATGGAGGAACTTTGCTTCTTGGCTCCATGCCTTCTTGGATATGGATGGAAGAATTGGTTTCGCCAAAAGTCCCCAAAGTTGGAGACCTCTAAGTTCCGACACCAAGGATGGTTGAGGAAGAAGATGAGTGGCCATGGAGGAGTTAGATGCTAGTAAACTCTCCCATGGTGGCCGGCTATTCTAGAGAGAAAAGAGAGAGAGGTTTTCTCACTTTTCATCCTTAGAAAACCCTAATAAGGATGGAGCAAAGATGCCCCTTCTATGCTTTCAACTTTTGTATGCATTTTGGACCAAAAGGCCCTTCCTCTCTCTATGGCCTGTTTTCCCAAGCCTTTGGGCTGTTTTGGGCTTCTTGAATTTTGTTTGTTAAGTTGTCATACAACTTAAGCTAATGGGCTTGACGATTTGAAGCCCAATTTGGGCTTTAAGGCCCAAAACTAACTCAAGGTTCAAAACAAACTTATTCGTTTGATTAATTCACATATTAATTAATTCTTGCGATAAACAATTAAACCATTTAATTGTCTTTACTCATCTCTGTCAAATCCTTCAAGCATTACCTTACACGGTGTGCGATCCATTAGGTTCTTTTTAGTGAGGCAGTGGGCGATTAGAACTCTTTCAAATCGATTGTGAATTGCAACTTACTTTCAATTCTCCCTTTAGTGATTAGACACGTTTAGGGCTTCCACAAACCATGAGTGACACCTAGCAGTATGTCATGGTTACCCAAGCTAATCAGAAGAGGTGGAGAACCTATTCAGTTTAGGATTACAATGCAATACGGTCTTTCTAATACAATACTCTTGACCACATTGTTTGGTTTGATAGTTTATTCATGTCTACTATCCAATGTGATTCATTTAATTATATGATTACCTTGAATGTGATTTGGAACAACTTCCTAAATCTCATTCATACTCTGGCTAGAGATTCTTAATCATATCCATAGAGTATTCTCCCTCAAACAGTTTAAAGGTTAGAGATCCCTTGTTGCGCATTCACTTGCCTCCATAGCTAAGTGGCTTAACCCCAACTATGTCGTGGACACCCTCGGATAGAGTGACTTTGACATAGTCAAAGATTAAGGACCTAACCACAAGACAACTATGATGCCTCAGGTCAAAGGACTACTTTGCATTATCCCAACCATGAGTTCTCATGTGACATGATTATGAGAACTCTTTGTTGATCGCGTTCAATGAACTCATTCTCTATTGAGCACCTACATACTTGTCTTGGTGTCAGTCACACCAATGACTCGAGACCAGCCACTCTCCCTAAGAGAAGACATAGCACGTACTGATCTTAATGGACTGTCAATGCCCAATTGGCAATCCTATGATCAGGAACATTTAGGATATGTATACGAAAAAGAATGGTCTCATGAATCTAACTTTTTTAAATTGCATTCTCCTAATTACATATTCCTTGGATTATCGTTTAAGCGTATAACATTTATATGAGACGGCTTCAAACAATAATCTTTGCCCTTTAAATTAAACTATATTAGTTTAACATGTGAAATGTTGGTAAAGTATCATCATATGATTGGTTTTAGGGCACATTTCCAACAGAAAGTGCCAACGCCATTGGGTTTTAAGGCCAAAATCAACCCAAATATGATCCATACTCCAACACTTATAATTTGGGCTGGAGAGATCATCCAAATATAAAGTGGAGGGAGTTTCAACAACCTCAACAACAAGGAGGATTTCGACCACCACCCCCTGGGATGTTTCCAAGGCCATACGTACCAACACAACCCCAACCACAATCTGCCCAGCCAAAATCAGGTTCATCCATGGATAATGATCAAATTGTTCAATTATTAACCAATGTGGCGCAGGGAATGCAAAATCAAGCCAAAAAGGTGGATGAATTGGAAAAGCAAATAGGGTAAATGGCGGAATTCATGGGCCAATTCAGAGAGCAAGGCAGATTGCCTAGTTCGACCGTTGTCAACCCGAAGAAAGGATTTAAATATGCAAAGGCCATCACATTGAGAAGTGGAAGAGAAGCTAGAACCAAGCCACAAACATCCAAACAAAGCCAAAAAGAGGACGAGAAACTGCAATTCAAGGAGGAGGAACAAGACAAGGCCACAGCAAGGATTGAGCAATCATTACTGTAGCCCCCTACACCCCCTAATCTGTCCAATTCAGGTAAGGTTGGTTCAAATTCAAATATTTCTAACCCTATTCCACCCAATGTACCTTTCCTTCACACATTTATGCAATCAAAGAAGGAAGAAAGTGACAAGGACATCGTTGAGATGTTTAGGAAGGTACAAGTCAATATCCCGCTCCTGGATGCAATCAAACAAGTTCCGAAGTATGCTAAATTCTTGAAAGAACTTTGCACGACAAGGAAGAGGATTTCAAACAAGAAGGTGGTAAGAGTAAGTGAGAATGTTTCAGCTGTCTTGCAATGAAAACTACCCCCTAAATGCAAAGATCCCAGTAGTTTTACAATTCCTTGTGTTATTGGCAATACTCGGTTTGAACATGCCATGATAGACTTAGGTGCCACCATTAATGTCATACCCTATTCTATTTATTCATCTATGAACTTAGGAGAGCTGAAAAATGATGGTGTTATTATCCAATTGGTCGATCGTTCTAATGCATATCCAAAAAGAGTTTTGGAAGATGTTTTGGTGCAAGTTAATCAATTGATCTTTCCGGCTGACTTCTATGTGCTTGAAATGGAAGATTAGGTCTGTTTTCCTCCATTGCTAATCCTACTTGGAAGACCATTCATGAAAACGGCCCCCACCAAGATCGATGTGTTCAAAGGAACGTTGACAATGGAATTTGATGGCGATGTTATTGATTTCAATATTTCTGAAGCCATGAGGTATCCTAGTGATGATCATTCTAGTTTTTCTATTGATATAATTGATTCATTGGCGCAGCAATACCTTGAAGATTTGAATGAGGATGCCCTTGAAACAACCATTATGAAAGGAATGGGCCTCAAAAACGAAGGAGCAGGACCTATGCCCACCCACGGCATACATGAAGACATCTTTGCTGTGCACCCTAGTGAAGAAGTGGTTGAGATGGTGGCTGCCTTAGAATCATTGCCACAAAAAAATGGTAAGCTTTTAATCCCACCACTGAATGACGCCCAATTGAACTACTCCACCACTGAAAAAGAACTCATTGCTGTTGTGTTTGCTTAGATAAGTTTCGTTCTTATTTACTTGGCACTAAGTCATTGTTTATTCTAATCACGCAACGTTGAAGTATTTGCTTACGAAGAAAGAAGGCAAACCAAGGCTTATTCATTGGATGCTTCTTCTCCAAGAGTTCGATATAGAAATTAGGGACAAGAAAGGGAGTGAAAACGTGGTGGCTGACCACTTAAGCAGTTTGGTGCATGACGAGAAGTCCTTACCCATTCCAAAAACATTTCTAGATGAGCAGTTGCTGTTTATTGAGGTAAGTGAGCCATGATATGCCGATTTGGTGAATTATTTAGTAGCTAAACAAGTTCCAAACACCCTAAACAAGCACCAATGTGATAAACTCGAAAATGATGCATGGTTTTATGTGTGGGATGACCCATACTTGTGGAAATATTGCCCTGATCAGATTCTACGTATGTGTGTGCATGAGTCTGAATTTCATTCAATTTTAACTTTTTGTCACACTTATGCATGTAGGGATCATTTTGGCACCCAAAGGACAACGCTTAAGGTTCTTGAATGTGGATTTTATTGGCCTAATCTATTTAAGGATGCTAGAACTTTTTGCATAACATGTGTTCGTTGCCAGAGAACAGGAAACATAGGTCAAATAGACCAAATGCCGCAAACATCCATTCTATCTGTTGAAATTTTTTATGTTTGAGGCATTGATTCATGGGTCCTTTTCCTCCCTCACATGGTTTCAATTATATATTGCTTGTGGTTGATTATGTGTTTAAATGGGTGGAAATAAAATCCACATGTACTAACGATTCCAAAATGGTTGTAGATTTTGTTAAAACTATAATCTTTTCCAGATTTAGGATGCCTAGAGTGCCATAAGTGATGGAGGTTCTCATTTTTTCAATTGAACCATCAAGGCGCTGGTCAAGAAATCTAATGTCACGCATAAGGTTTCGACACCTTATCATCCCCAAACAAGTGGCCAAGTTAAGGTTTCGAATAAAGAAATCAAGCAGATTTTGGAGAAGACCGTTGGACCAACTCGGAAAGATTGGAGTTTGTGTTTGGATGATGCACTATGGACATATCGTACGGCTTACAAAACACCCTATTGGAATGTCCCCATTTCGGCTTCTCTATGGCAAACTGTGCCATCTTCCTGTGGAATTAGAGCACAAGGCGCATTGGGCTGTCAAAACATTCAACATGGACATAAATGCGGCTAGAATTCATAGAAAGCTTCAATTGAATGAACTTGAAGAGATTAGGCATGAGGCTTATGAGAATGATCGCATTTACAAGGAGAAGACAAAGGCATTCCATGACAAGATGATTCGTAGCAAGACATTCTCCATAGGGCAGAAAGTGTTACTTTTCAATTCCCGCCTTCGTTTGTTTCCCAGTAAGTTACATTCTAAATGGATTGGCCTATTTGTTATTACTAATGTATTTCCTTATGGTGCAGTCCAAATCCAAAGCTTCAAGACCGGCCAAGAATTCAAAGTGAATTGGCACCGTTTGAAGCCTTACTACGACCTTTTTGAGGAGCATGTGGTGGAGGAAATACTCCTCCATGCCGTGGGCTCCAATGAAGCTTAAAGAGAGGTATCGTCCGGCTGGAAGACGTTAAAGCAAGTGCTTCTTGGGAGGCAACCCATGCATTCAAATAAATCCGTCTCCACAACCAGATTTGCGTTCTTAAACCCTACTCTTTATTGCTTTTACTTTGCCATGATAGTTGTGTTTGTTAGTGTATTGTTTTGATGGTTTGAGTGTGAGTCTTTGTTTGAAACATTGAGGACAATGTTTTGTTTAAGTGGGAGGGGGGTAAACAAAGTGTTTTTCATTGATTTCCGTGGGATTTTACCACCTAGCACCATTAGAGTTGTTTTTCACTGTTTTTAAGTGTTTTTAGTGTGTTTTGAAGTGTTTTTAGTGTGTTTTGAAGTGTTTTAGTGTGTTTTGAAAGGAAAATACGAAAATTTGAAAAAAAGTTTTGAAAAAACCAAAAAGAGTCATTTTTGTGTGTTTGTTTGTGTCTTAGGGTACCTTCCAACACAATAGGTGGAAGTTTGATATGCTCTTTTGTTAATACTTGCTTATAGTTGACGTTTACAAATTTACATGTAATCACAAAGAAAAAATCAGTTTTTGTAACATGCTTGAAGGAAGGAACTCAAACTAACGCTACAACCCTGAGAGACTTGAGCTTATTCCTTGTTTGGAGAGTTATTAATCTGTGATGTTTTTGTTTTCTTAAGTCATTGCATGATCTTATTATTTCTTTTCTTGGTTGCTACTTAGAATGCGTTTTCATCATTATAGTTTCAAATACCAGAACTCATGCCCATTTCATCCAAAGCTTAAAATTGAGTGCATAACATATAACAAGATGAAATTGTTTAGTAGTTACCAGAGCCAAAAAGCCTTAATCCCGTGCATATGTTTTGTAGGTTTAACCCCTTTGAGCCTTGTTTAGCATATTTTCTTTGTTAGCCCATATTATCCTTACCTAGCCTAGAATAGGACTATCCATACCCTTGTTCTTAAAGTATAGTGGAGCATGACTTAGAGGGAATTCCTTTTGATCAAACATATTGCAGAAAAACAAGTGTGGGGGAAGCTTATGTCGAACAAAAAAACAAAAAGAAAAAAAACAAAAAGTTGAGAAAAGAAATAAAAACAGTTCAAAATAAGTGAGACAAGTATTGGTTGTTGAAGAAAGGGTCCAAAAGTTTGAATTCGGCCCTAAGTGTTTTTTGAATCTTCCCTTTGTGTTTAAAGTGGATTTTTGCATTCAAAAGTGAATTCTAAGTGTCAATTTCATTTCTTTGCTTATAATTACTTTAAGAACATTTGTCTATCCTTACCTTTCTTTGTTAGCCAATACCTTAGCCCCGTTACAACCCTTAGACTTCAATCTTGATGGTTGTGTGTTTCAATCTGTGGAGTTTGAAATTGGTATGAGCATATGAAATCCCTGGTCCTCGCTTCTAAGTAGTAGCATTCCGTTCATGAGATCATATATACATGTATTAATAATTCCAGAAATTGCCTTCTTTGTTTAAAACATATGTGAGTACTAGTCTACATGTTTACATCAATCTTCTCATGTATACTTAGTGTAGGGAGTGTAGTCAGAAAATCTGTGTGAAAATAGAAAGTATATATGGTGAGGAATTGAGTGAATTCTCTAAGGCATGTTACTCCATTCAAAATGTTGTTTTAATTGATTAAATGCGAGCTAGTGAATGGTGACTATGATTAAGTGTGTGCTCGAGGGTAAGGATGGCTAAAATCTATGTGAGCAGTGATTTTTAATGTGTCATGTTTCATTAGAAATCCCTGAGGCGAATGTTGGAAGGTTTAGGTTATGTTTTGTTTGTTTTATTTTGCTTGAGGACTAGCAAAAGCTAAGTGTGGGGGAATTGGATAGGAGCATATTTATGTGACTTAGTTAGCTTGTTTTCTTGCATTTATGTTGTTAGTTCCTAGTTATTGTAGTATTTTAAGCTATTTTCGTGTGTTTGTAGGTCCAAAGGGCTAAAGTAGCAAGAAAGTGCAATTTGGAGCATTTTGGAGCAGTTTTGGGGGTGGAATGAATAGCACATGTTTGGAGCAAGGTGGATGGACGAATTTGAAGTTCAAAGGAGGCTAGAAATGAGCAAAGAAATGAAGGAAATAAATTCAAGACAAAAGAAATCAAAGAGCCCAGCAATAAAGAAGGAATGTTAACCAAGTTACCTTATTTTATCCTAAATCCTTTCCTAATCCTTCACCACCTAATTTCCAGCTGCAAGGAAGAGCTCTAAACATATTAGGACACTTAATTACATGGTTCTAAAAGGACAATCCCAGTAAAAAAAGGTTGCTGCACCACATTTCCATTACCTTTTCTGTCACAGCCCGTCCTGGAATTTTAATTCCGAGGACGTGAAAAGACGAAAATGCCCTTAAACGGGATTAAGGTGCGTAATTTTGGTATTGGTTTTACCTAAAATTCCTAAGTTATTGTTAATTAAACTTAAACTTGGACTAATAATTTTGTGTTTGGACTTTAGGTAGGGTCCTACACCCTAAATCCCTCCCCATTTCCCGTTTGTTGTCTCTCTCTCATCTCCTCAGTCACTCTCTCTCTCTTCCTTAGCTCTTCCTCAGAAACTCTCACTCTCTCTCTTCTTCTCGAACGCACGGGCAACCACCAAAACCACCTAAAACCTATACCAACGTCCAAGTTAAGACCACATTTGGACTCCTGGAACTTCCACGATCACGTAGACATCAATTTCAGGTAAGTTCTACTTCGGAAAACCCTAGTTTTCAAAGTACCCGTGAAATGGCACTGTTCATAAACTCTTAAATGGTGGTGTTTTAGCTTAAAACAAGATCACAGTGAGCTTTAGGATGTCCCAAGGAAGCTCGGAACTGACACACCCCGTCCCGAAGGAGGGCATGCTGGCCGTCACGTGAGAGTGACGTAACCATTTGCACAGTACGGAAGCTTTAAGATACAATTTAAATTGATACACCCGAAGGTGAGTCCTAATTTTGTCCAATCTGTCAGAACACCGTCGAATTATTGTAACATCCCACATCGCCCAGGGAGTGATCCTTAAATGTATATTCCCATCTCTACCTAGCACGAGGCCTTTTGGGAGCTCACTGGCTTCGGGTTCCGTAGGAACTCCGAAGTTAAGCGAGAAGGAGGCCAGAGCACTCCCAGGATGGGTGACCCACTGGGAAGTTGCTCGTGAGTTCCCAGAAACAAAACCGTGAGGGCGTAGTTGGGGCCCAAAGCGGACAATATCGTGCTACGGTGGTGGAGCGTGCCCGGGAAGTGGTCCGCCCCGGGCCGGGATGTGACAATTGGTATCAGAGCCAATCCCTGGCCGGAAGTGTGCCGACGAGGACGTCGGGCCCCTAAGGGGGGTGGATTGTAACATCCCACATCGCCCAGGGAGTGATCCTTAAATGTATATTCCCATCTCTACCTAGCACGAGGCCTTTTGGGAGCTCACTGGCTTCGGGTTCCGTAGGAACTCCGAAGTTAAGCGAGAAGGAGGCCAGAGCACTCCCAGGATGGGTGACCCACTGGGAAGTTGCTCGTGAGTTCCCAGAAACAAAACCGTGAGGGCGTAGTTGGGGCCCAAAGCGGACAATATCGTGCTACGGTGGTGGAGCGTGCCCGGGAAGTGGTCCGCCCCGGGACTGACACACCCCGTCCCGAAGGAGGGCATGCTGGCCGTCACGTGAGAGTGACGTAACCATTTGCACAGTACGGAAGCTTTAAGATACAATTTAAATTGATACACCCGAAGGTGAGTCCTAATTTTGTCTAATCTGTCAGAACACCGTCGAATTCCTCGTAGTCACCACACCTTTGTGATTCCTGAACCTGGAGGGGCGCAAAACCAAAATTGAGTGGGTCAGTAAAACAATTCTTTTCCAAATCCAAACATTTCTCAAAACGTTGTAACCCCTCTCCGTAAAACCTGTATACTTTCCCAGAAATGTAAAATATAAATATACATATATATTCTCAAAACTTCATTTTTACTATCTCAACATTATCTCGTTATCAATCATGCCATGCCATGTCATCTCAACATTTCTCATATTAATTATGCCATGCCACATCTCATCTCAACAGTAATAAGGTATGAATGCATCAACATAATCATATCAGGTGCAAGAAAGTAATCAACCGTAGGCCCTCTAATAGCCCTGTACGGTTGAACCTAGAGCTCAAAATCTATCATTATCACTCTACCCGGAGTCACCTCTGTGACCCGTCCGGCCTTCTGCACACAAGTTACGCTCTAGTGCTTCTCATAAATCATCTGTGCACATAATCTAAGGTCACCCACCAGTCGGAATCTCACTAACACTCTCGCGACTGGTCTGTCGTACCCACTCCGCGTGGACTGTACGACTAGCATCTACTTGGATCCAAGGCGAGCGTGCGATGCGGTGAATACTATAAGCACTAAAACCATGGTGCAGGATTTGAGCTCAATATATATATCAACATCATCATAACAGTATTTAAATAATCACCTGATACTCACCTGTGCGTCCACCGCACCATTTCATACATATGCATCATAAATCAATTCTTACATGTGCGTCCACCGCACCAATTCATACATATGCATCATAAATCAATTCTTACTTGTGCGTCCACCGCACCAATTCATACATATGCATCATATATTAATTCATCATGCATGGCATTTCAACTCACATTTCTATATACTTTTCATATCAATTCTATGCATGGTATTTCACTTCCCGTTTTTCCACATAACTCATATGCATTTCATTTTAAACATATTTTCATTTCAATTCAATTTCTGGGAAACGTCAAGTATATATATATACGGAAAACAAAACTGCCCACTCACCTGGAGTTCGCCCTACAACTCCCTAGCACCACACATCAAGGCGTCATGACGATCGGCGCCTAAAACAATATTTAATTCCAACCTCAGAATTCATATCGATAGAATATA